CTTTGCAATCTTTTTTAATTTTATGCAAGACGTGTGAAACGACATTGTACATACATATAAATCGGAATTCCGAAAAAATTTCGATTGCTTAAACAATTAGTTTTTTTGCAGTTACACCTGCTACGTGATCAAACTCGTCTTTCAATTCGAGTTTAAAACAAAAAAACAAATTGAATAAAAACAACTACAACTTCGATTTCTCTATCGAAAAGTAAGGAAGCTACATATTTACATATATGTATGTGTGTCTAAGGATGTCAAATCAGTTGCAGATATATGCACATATGTATGTAAATGCAAAACCTAGTTTATTTTTTAAATGACATAAATTGTTGCCCGTGGCTGAAGATAGAGCGTAAATTGGAGATATTTTACATTTTAACGGTTGACATCAATTTGAAAATATACACATTGTTCGTTTTCGAACGGTGCAATTAGCATATCAAAATAAAATACAAGTAGATATGAACTGTTCGAAAAACATACATACACATAGGTATTTATGTGGATATGGTATGTTTCTTGAAATTGATTAATTGAATTCTTGACTGAATAATGCATGATGCTGATACTGAAGCTCCGCTCGGTGCGTTTTTTCTTTCCTCTGTGCGCCTTACTTATTATCTGACCACACACAACATACTTGCAAACTGAAATCTGATTCAAAATCATTGATTTTAACTAAATTAACCCGCCAATGAGGAATTGCACAAGGTTATTTGTACCTATTCCAAGCGAATATGGCTCGAAGCTGTAATAAGTTTAGTCCTCTTGTGCCTCAGATTTCAATGGTCGATCAAAAAATTGTAAACTGGTAGTCTTCTGCCAATACCTTGAATTACAGATTTTGTTACTTAACCTGGCAAACAGATGGTAACAAGTTCGTTTTGGTTTTTTAGAAACTTGCAATTTTGAATTAATACGTTTTAAAATATTTTTACATTATTTATACTTATACAGTGATCAGAGTACTATTTTGGGTAATGTGTCTTCATGCTTCACATTGATAACTCATAACTCCCGGTTCTTGAAAATATCGGTAAAAGCTTTCTAATATATTACCACTGTATTCGATTTGAATTTAAGTATTATACAAAACAGCACATATTTCTCTGAATTTGGTGAAGAGAATCACTCAAAGCAGAAAAATTTGAAAACATTTTTTTAAATAATTTACTTAATTTTTTAAATAATACTGATTTTCAGTTTAGTAAGTCGAACTGTTGCGGCATCGGCCCTAGTTGTTGTATAAGCCTTCGTTAAATTCTTTTATAAATCCATTTCATCTTAAAAATAATTTTTTTTTTTATATTCTAAAAAGATTTTTTAAGCAAGATTGCGTTAATTTTGGGAGTGTTCAAAAATGCGTATTACTGTTGAGTATTCATAAACGCTGGCCGCACATAACTTGGAAACAAACGGACAGCTATTTGCCTAGGCTCATCGTTTTAGACAGACATTTATACATACATACAAATGTAAAGTACATACTAGGGTGAGCCAAAAACTAAACTATCGAATTCATGGCTAAAAAATCTTCCTCAATAGGACTTTTCAATTCAAAAATTCGTATATTTAAAAGCTTACATTACATTAACAAAAACATAACTGGACACGATTATCACAAGAAGCCCGTTAGTAATTTTTCAGCTACTAGAGTTAGCATCGGATCTTTTAAATATTAAGCCTGAACATTGGTTAGAAAATTAAGAACAGAAATATAAGATTTTTGTTTGTTGTTTTTTTTTTTAACTTTTACGTGGTACCAGATATTGCAACATTATTCTATACTAATACATTTTTTTTGGTTGCAGATTGCTAGTAGAGTTGAAATCGTGGGTAAGAAGGTCACGGGGTGGGTTAATTTTTTGACACTCCCCACTTCATCAACTGCTAATTTGTAAAATTTTTAACTTTTTGTGGTTATTGATTTTCTCCTGAATTCTTGTAATGTTAATCAATAACAAACAAAAAAAAAATGGATGGTAAAAATATTTATTGCTTTACGACACTTTAAGAAATACCTACAATTCATGCCTCTGAACTAGAATACCCCCTTAACGAAAACAGATTTTTTTATGTGTTATTTATATGGAAAAATTTAATTGCACATTCTCACCTTTAAAAATTAAGAAAAATTTTCTTGCAGCGATATTTTTTCTTTGTACGGTAGTTTTGGCTAACCCTAATACACACATCTTGGCATTCATAGGCAAGTACATTTATTCATGGATGTATGTTTGCGCATTTATCATATCGCTTAGCAGAAATCGTTTTGCAGCAACGCTTAATGATTACTTTCAATTGCCAGTGATTGCCCGCAATGCAATTGCTTGCAGTTGAGATTCATTTACACCAATTGGCAATTGCCGTGAAGCGCCAACGAAATCGAAGGAGCGTTCAGCGATTATACACATTCCTGGCAATTTACAAGAAAGTGCACATATATACAGACATTTTTATATATTATATGTTGATGTACACATATGTAAAGATCAGTATGAAAATATGGGCGTGGTGTTTTATAAATTAACTCGCTTTTATAAATATATATGTATGAGTGTGTTCAATGATAAGCAACATTATAGATAACGCAGCTTGCTTACATTGTACATTTGTACAAACATACACAGCCGCTCATAGATATATTGATTTTTATGAATTTATTTGTTTTTTCATCGCTGGCATAACGACAAACATTATTATATTGGTCCGTTTGCGCATACTTGGCCTTTGACGTCGATACCTTCGATGAGATAAGGGAGAATTTGCTTTCAACGCGCACACACTCGGCACACGTAACTTGTTTGTGTTGTTGCTGTTTGCGTATGCTGTTTTTATTTTTCTTTAACTAATACCCCTTTTGTGTGCATTTTTGCAAGTTATTGTTTGAATTTCTATTTTTAGGCATTACCGTGTTTATTTTTAAATAATCGTATGTGGAATATGTGTGGTGAAGGGTTGTAGGCATAAGTAGCGGTAGTCTATGGAAATAGCAGCCAATTGAACCAACAAATGTTGGTCTTGTGCTATTTCGAAATTTCTACACTTTAGAACGCAATTATTCGAAATAATAACACATTAAATAAATGAAGGAATTGGAATTGTGCTGAACTCATAATCAGCTAATAATCGTGAGGCCTTATCCAAATCTATCTTGCTGAATATTATTTTATTCATTCGCCTTTTAAAAATTTGCAATTCTCAATAGGCTTAAAGAGCAATGTTAGATTTCAAACTCTTCTTCGAAAATTAAAATCCCAACTTGTCTGAGACTCAGAACTATAAAACATTGTTTAAGGGAACAGTCTATAATTATCAAAAAATCGAAGATAGGTTTTTCGACTTCAAGTAGACTTTAGGGTTACTAAAAAAATGTTTCAACTGCTAGAATAGTAAAACAAATGTATTCCAAACCGTTGTAGAGTCAAAGCACTTCAGTCAGTCAGTTTCAGAACATAAAACTTTAAAGGGGCTTCTCTTGAATTTTTTTTTTAAATGCTACTGAGAAACTATCGCACGTATCCAGTGGATATTACGTGTGTTATTTTGTTATTGTGGCTACTTTGTTAAAAAACAGTAATTTACGATCAAAATTAAAACACTTTTTTTGCAAGTCCGTCATTTTCCAAAAAACTGATGTAAAGCTTAAAATTTGCATATTTTACTAGCAAGTCTTTTGAAGATTATGACATCGTTTTTCATTTTTTCGGACGAGTTTCTAGAATCACCATTACATGTGGAGCTTTTCTTGAAAAAGGTGATTCGAGTGAGCGTCATTTTCTATGAAAATGACAACATAAACAAATACATGTTTAATAAAGCTGAAAGAGAAAAATTAATTTTCTTCTTTTCAATTCCTAAAATAAATAAATGGTAAAAGGTAGAAAATTTTTGAGAGTTCTAAACTGGTTAAGCCCCTTAATTGATCTACCAAAAAAGTTAAAAAAATTTGATAAGTTATGTTAGGTGAGCTTGTGGTAACATTGTAAGATACGCTCAATTATTAACTTGGAAACTATTACAACTCACGTGAGTTTTATTTCTTGTGTAAAAATCATTACCGAATCCTAGAAAACGTTGAATAAATTAGATATGCGGCCTTCGTACGTGCTTAAATGATACCAAAAATTCAAATAATACAAAATAGCTCAATTACTGTTATCACTTAATTGACGAGTGAAATGTCAACGAACTCTCAAAATTTTGCTATTCATCTGACGCATACCACAATAGCGGAGCGTTAGCATCTAGAAAGTAAACTTTTTAATGTCGACCAAGCATCATTACTTGAAGTTGGATTCTGAGAAGAAGGATGTAAGAATAAAAGTTGATAGAAAGGTGGAATATAGGTTTTTTTTTTCTTTAAATACATGTTACAATCTTCCTTGTTGCCCTGTTTCTCATTTATTAAACCGTAGAAAATCAAAAGACTTCGAGAGAAAGAGAAAATGTGTACAAATTGAGGTGCTTCCTTGACCATTGAAAGCGTTGCAGCTCATTAATCTTAGAGAAAACAAACTTGATCATAAAATTGAGTGACGACAATTGGAAATCCTCCATAAAATGCAAAAAATAATATTCGACCCTTCAAAAGAGAGCAGCCTAAGCGGAAATATTAAGTTTTACTTATTAACTTTTGATCCGCAAAGGTCCATACTTAGCGCAGCTGAGTGATCACTACAGAGTTGTGCTTGACGATGTTCTACTACAATTTTCCCACACTTTAATTTTATTGAATCTGTCAGCACAAAAAAAAAAAAGAAACCTAAGTAGCCTCAGTATAAATTCAGAGGCAAGAGAAACTCTAATCCTTTTTTTTTCAAAATTTAAAAAAATTTAAAATTTATTTTAATAAGAATAAATTAAGTAACAATTTTTTTCAATATATTCACTTAATAATATTCCACCGATGTTAAGTACAATGGCAAATTACAATATTCTTTTTCTTTTTAATTAATAATTAAAACTACCAATAACTAGATGTAGACCTACAAGAATTATTTAAAATTATTTAAGTGATATATTATTTGATAAAAATATTATTAATTTAGTTACAACATATTCAGCTCGGTTAAATCATAAAAGTACTTATTTGGCACTGGTGAGAACGAATGAATTCCGGCATATACGATACTGAACGCTGTCAAATAGTGTGCTCAATGGAGCCCATTGACTTTTTGCGCTCATTCACCTCGAAACGTTGCATAATTTTAGCGACAATACGCGATGGCGGTATATCCGGATTACCGGTAAGACCACGATAGCCCAGCACGCTGTGATCGGCAAGATTGCTGGCCAATTGCAGGCGACGTATGAAAGCTTCTGTGTCGATGCCGCGCACCTGTGATGGCTTGAGAAAACGTTTCGGTATGCGTGAGAGTATATCCTCCGAATCGATCGGACCGAAACCCAAATTGATTAATATAGCTTCTGGATCGGGTTTGCGCGCCTCCAATAAACTATCCACACTCGAATAACGACTCGAAGACTCCGAGTGTGTGGAATTATCACGCTTCAACATGGCAAAATGATGGCGACGCAACGATGGACTAGCCGGACTGGCCGGTGTATCGGTGGTGTTGGTTGTTGTGGTAGTCGACGAATCGAAGGACTCCTCATGCTTAAGACGGCGCTCACGTATATGATGCTGATGCATTTGATGTTGATGTTGTTGGTGTTGATGTTGATGATGATGGTGATGTTGATGTTGGTGGTGGTAAGTGCTGATCGAACCGGCGGTTGCAAAGCAATTGGGCAAGGATGATGGCTGTCCATCGAATGGTGTACTATGATGTTGCTGCTGGAAGTGGCTCAAATGCTTCTGTGCAAACGGGGGTGCCTGTAGCTCTGCCGTGCACATTGTCTCCATCAGCGGCGTCACACTGAACATGTTGGACGCTGGTGATTGCTGTTTCAACACTTGGTCCTCTTCTTCATCCTCCTCTTCCAGATCGGCGGCGTAGGCAAAATCGGCATCGTCCAGTTCGGTAGGTTTTTGTCGTTGTAGACGCTTGCGTCGTGTCAAACGCTGCGCTAAGTTGGGTGAACGCGACTTCTCACCGTTCGCGTGTTGTGCACTTTGTGTCACCGGAGTTTGATTTCTACCTAGCGTGTCAGGTGATTGCAATAATTGTGTCGGCGGCAAGTGATGCAGCTGTTCGTGCTGACGTTGCAAACGCGTCTGGCGTAGTTCGCTTGTCTTGCGCTGATTAAATGTGACTTGTGCGTCAGTTGTGTTGGCATAATTAGTGCTATTGCTATTGCTATTGTCATTGTTATTGCTGTGACTGTTGTACATATTGTTATTCTCATTTTTCGCATTGTTACTACTGTTGTTGTTGTTGTTTGTGTCGTAACATTGTGCTTCCTCATTGCAGCTGTACCAGGTGGTGAGCGTCGTATCCATTTTGGCGGTTGTCACAAAGGATTTGATTTCATTTGATTTTATTGCGAAATTTTTTTAGAATTTTTATTTAATGTTTTTTTCGGAAGCGCGTGTCTGTTTGCCTACTGCTCTAGTCTGATTAACGGTTCAAATGTTTGGAATGATTTGTTTTCGCTTGCTTTCCTAGTCGCTTTATTTGGCAGCGTTAGCCGGTTGACCTTGCTCGGCAAACCGGTTTGTGCGCTGGTATTGCTATTGTTGTACGACTAGACACTTAAAGCGCTCTCGTCTGACTGACTAGTTGACTAAGTAACGTGTAAGCGTTCGCTGCGTTTGTTGTTGTTAGTTTGTGTTAATTATTGCTTATTTTGCTGTTGCAAGCGCCAATGTCAATTGTTTACAGTTATTCAAGTTCAAATTGATATATTTATTATTATTGTTTATTATTTTATTTTTGTTTTTTATGTATTTTTTTAAATTTTTTTTCACACTTTTTTATTGCTTTTAATCTGCTAATTGCCGAGTTCGCTTTGAAAACATATTATTCTTAAAATAAGCGCAAAAAAATCGTTTATTTAATGTTCTACTTTTAGTTGTTTTAGTTATTTGTTTGCTTGCTTCTAAGACGCAATTAATAATTGTAAGCCAGCTTCGCTATCACTGATGGTTGAAAATTTTCGTGCGCAAGCACAAATATATGTTTTTTTTATTATAACTTTTTAATAATTTTTTTATAATTTTTAAAATATTTTTGTTATTATTTTTTTTTAATAATTTTTTGCTATTGTTATTATTTTATTATTATTTTTAAAATTATTTTTTTGTGTTTTGTTTTACTTACAAAAAAAAAAAAATTAAAAGTTCCTATTTAACCTCACTTTTATATAATGCATCATTTACACAACTTCTTATATCACAAAATTGCTGTAATCACTTTTTTATACTATTATTATGGTCATTATTGTTGCTGTTGCTGCTGCTACACAGAAATTATTCCAAATGACATTAAGCAGCTGCACCTCGCCACAACGTGCTCCGGTCACGGTGACTTGTTTTACCAACCAAACTCCAAACGTACACCCCCGCTCACCGCGTCCGACCTTCACCGCTAATAAATCGCGTGTCACCTGGAGAATTAGGTATTCGCCAGCTTCTTCGTCGTCTGCGCCACTTGGCTGGATTTTTTCGCCTGCGACTTGACGCTTCTCACGCCCGTTCCACTGATATTACTAAGTATGTAATTAGCTTTTCAGCATTTTCACACTTGCGACCGCAGAACTGTTGCGCTGTTTGCACTCTTATACGTTTTGGTTGCTTTTGTTTGTTGTTGTTGTTGTTGTTGCTGCTGCTATTTGCTATTATTAAATTACTTATATAATCTATTTTGCTGCCTTGTTGTTGTTGCCGTTTCGCATATGCTCACTTGTTGCTTGCGCTTATTGCTTTTCTATTTAATTAGCGTTGTTTGAGCGTGACGTTGTTGTTGTTGTTGAATTGAACCTTTTGGCGCTTGGCAACCCTTTGCCACTGTCGAGCGACCAGCAGTCGTCGCTAGACAATTTTGAACGTTATCTCGCTGGCGATTCCGGTATATTTGTTTTTATTGCTGTTTTTGTAAGTTTTTATTGTTGTAGTATATTTTTATTGTTGTTGTGTTTATATTTTGTTGTTGTATTTTTTCTTTTCGATTTCGTTATTTATTGCTTTTTTTGCTGCTTTTTTGCAAGTTATTTTAGTATATTTGTTGCTGTTGTTGTTGTTGTATTTTTTCTTGACGACATCGTTATTTATTTCTTTTATTTCTGCCGTTTTTTTTGCAAATTTCTTTTGTTGTTCTTATATATTGTTGTTGCTGCTGCTGTTGTTGTAATTTGTTTTTGTTGTTGTATATATTTTTTCTATTTAACTTCGGTGTTCATTACCCCGTTTCTGCCGCTTTTTTTGTAAGTTCTTTTATTATTTTTATTTTTGTTGTATTTGCTTTTACTCTCTACTGTATCTCATAATTTTACTTTATTTACTTAATAATATTAATAACGAATTTCCATATTTTTACACTTTCTTGCTTCACTTTGGCGGCTGATTCGTAGCTTTGTTGCTTTGCGCTTTATTTATTTTATTTGTATTTATTTTGATTTTCGCGCATGAAAATATGTCTGTATGTATATGTGTGTGTATTTGTCATTAAATGTCATTGATTACTCGTAATCAGCCAAACCAAAAATTACAAAAAAAACATAAATTTGATTGCACTCCCCTTTCGCTATGAGCATTCGTATCGCCTTCGCCGTCTTTATGAAATTTAAATTTTATTGATTACGGTTTTTGAACACATTTCCGCAACCCGAAACTGTACCGTAGCGTAGCCGTGTTGTGCTTGATAAATATGCGCGTTTATTGCGTTTATAGACTTAATATTATTTTAATTATTTATTTATTGTCTGTTCTCTTTCTTAATTTTTTTATATAATCGTCGTTCAAACTGTGGTCTCCGCTAAACGACGACGAGTTCAGCGTGTTTCAGTGTTTTCTTCCTAACGTCTCCCGCGGTACTGTTTATTGTTGGCCGCCCGTGGCTGTGACCGCGACCGCAAAAGCGCATTGAAGTCGCAACGATCGGTCGCCGTCAAACAGCAAGTCGAAGCTAGTCATATTTAGTTAACATACAAATATTATAATGCCGCTCATGAGATGAGCGCACGATCGGCAGGCTGGCGACCAAACCCAATCGCTTTGTTGCTCCAAATCGCTCCAGCTGTGAGCGCAGCTCAATCGTTTGCGAGTGCGCTCACAACCAGCACACCTTACACTCCTTACTCATCGCTATTGGCGCTCACGTGGCTATAATCGTTGCTGGTTTTTGTTTTTGTACTGTTTGATACACACGCCGCGATCAGCGTTCAGCGTTCGGCGTTCGGAAAAAGCTTAACAATTTGTTTGTGTTTAAATTTTGCAATTTCTTACTCATAAAATTTGAAGTTGAAAAATAAACTTTTTTATATCTTCTTGTTGTTCCAAAGGGTTCGAAAGCCTGTAGTACCTAATATGGCTTTGCTGTTTTTGTTTTGTTTATTTTGCTTTGCTTACATTTGACTTATTGGCCTGTCTTCTCAGCCACACTAACGTCGGTAACTAGTCTGTCCAGTGTTTTAAGCCACTCTATTTTTATCGTCACAGCGGTGAGTGCTCTTTGCTTGCTCTTCGGTGATTTGACGATTTTTTCCCAACTCTGGGGGAAAAACCCTTATAGCATGGGTCGTTCCGTTTTGACGTTTTGATGTTTTTCTGTTCATTTTGTTATTTTTACTCTTACTTCTCTGAACATACAAATGTCAGTATGTATGTAATTCTCAGTTGTGTTGACGAACTTTGTTTGCGCGTTGTTTGGCTTGCCTTTTTTGTACCGAATTCGATGTGGGTCTTTAGGTTGGATGACACTATCACTTATGCAAAGCTCTCTTTGATGCGTTATGTTGTTATAAACATTTAGTATATATGGGAAAATATGTGTAAAACGAAACTCACTTTAGTCTTGATTGCTGGCATTAATTTACTTGTAGTTAAGTTTAGAGATGTACGATTTAAACAACATTTGATCCCGATTTTAATCCCGATCGCGATAAAGTGACACTTTTCGGTAACGAACTATGAGTTCCCGATCGTCAATTTATAGTATATTTTTGTTACTTATTAAATTCAATGTGGAATTCTCGAGTACGAACTGCAGCAAAGGCAATACCTTAATATATAGAGTTAAAAAGCTTTTTCAAATAGCGGCCGCGCATTATCGGAATTTTGGACCTATGAGTAAAACATCACGATTCTTAATGAGGTAAGCCAAGTAATCTACCGGAAGCAGCGATCTAATGCGTTGGCGCTAGTTTAATCTTGATAGAAGATCTTCTAGATATCAGGAATCTTAAAGATTTTAATCGTCCAGTCGAACTATAATAAAGGGTATTTTTTTTAACTTGTGGTTTACACAAAGAAATAAAAACAGTTTAATGTTATGGCCCCTAATGCATTATCAGACAACTCTAGCCAAGCAGCATCAAGGCTGTAACTTCGTACTGCATACCGGCCAGAAGTGTCCTGGGAAGCAGGGTGTCGCCAGGAGCAAGCAACTTCACTTCGATAGTGAGGCTGCAGAACCTATTGAAATTCACGTCCAGCGGTGGCATTCTGAAGGACGACATCTTCTCATGAACTACGTACCGGCATCCCATCTGGCTAAGGACCAAAACTAGTCTATGCGTGGCTCACGAGCCTAATAGACTAACCAAACATATAACCTAATGTTATGGCCAAGAACTTAACTTTATTATAAAGACTTGAAATTACATTTTAAAATTGATTTCGACTAAGTTACCGCTGCGGCTGGCTCGAATAAATTCCAGCGAAGAGGCCGTATAACGCGCCGAATATTCTCTTCCAAGACGTCAATGGCTATAAGAATTCTAAGATATTTCTAAAACTATCCTTTGCCTAACGAGAGTGGTCTAAATCAATTTTTTAATCAAGTAACTCTTCATTAATGAGAATCTTTCTCAAACTGGAAAATATCTAAATAGAAAATAGACAAAAAGGCCTGATGAATACTAAAAGGAATGTTTAGTTACCGTATAGAAGAGGCTGATAAAATTCCACAAATAACAGAAAGTATGAAAATGAAGCGTTCGAGGTGGCTGGGGTCTTACATTGAATTCAAAGCTAGGCAATATTTCGCCGCAATTTGGAAAAGTTTATAATACTGTTACGCTTAATGATCGACTCTAAGTAGTAGATTTTTTGTGCAGTTAAGGAAAACCTGTCCGGAAAAGGGATCAGTCCACGATTCGACCTTTTGAACGAATCAACCGAGCTATAAGAAAGTGAGGTTATGTTAGAAGTGTAGTTTAAAGAGTTGGGAGATTATTCATAAGGCTTGAGTTCCATAACTAGTGTATAGTACAGAGATGAACGGGAATATTAAAGAATAACTAAGTATTTATGTTAGAAAGATATTATCCGCAATATCTTTTAATCTTTTAAGGAAGATATAAGGATCTTGAGTGTCAATGATATTATCGAAACTTTCGAGAAGTGGATATTTTTTAACCGCTTCACCTGAAGTTGAGAAATAATTTTTGTTTTTGATACCAAAATATGTAACTTACTCATCAAATTGTCTTCTTCTGAACTGTAACAATTTACCATAAAAGTGTTTCTTCAAACATTTATTATAAGAAACCGTCTTTTTTGTACTCCTGTTAGTCTAGTGGGAAATTATATGCAATTCGGCTGATTTGTAAGTAGTTTCATAACTAGTTTTTCAACTACTTCATACGAACTATTGTTTAAAAAAAATGTTATGGCATAGCAAACCGCAAAGCTATGAATTTATCACCATTGTGTTTTGATTTTATCGGTATACCCCCATACATATATACAGGTACAATAAAAGTAGCGATTTACCTCGCACAATTTGAAATCTAAAGCAACTCATAAACGCTAAACGTCATAATATCATAAAAACCACAATTTAATGACAATTAATGACAGATAACGGCAATTAATTATGACATATGCTTTCGATAAGAGTGTAGACAGTCATAGAAGTGTTTCAAGTGCAAATTAAGTGGCAGAGACTAAGTTTTCAAGATATGATTATGAATTGGATTATCAAAGACTACCTGTTTATGAGGCTAGAAAGGTAAGAAAGTAAACAAAATGTGTACTATTTATTTAGGTGAAGCACTGGTTTTCGCTACAACGTTTATTGGCCTACTTGTATTAGTCAAATTTTATTGATCGAAAAAGGGTGGTATGAGTAGGAAATAATTTTTTTTTGGAGTACATGAACAATGAAAAATATGTTTTCCAGCTTTAGAGTTGGAGTGTTGGTTTAAGAGCGTTTTTCTCGAAATATTTTTCAAATCGAGCGGCAATGGTACTCAGAGACTAATTCAAATATATACTTTTTAACATTATTTAGTAAACTTTGTAAAATTTTTAGCAGTAAAAAAATGATATCTTTCATTTTAAGTCAGCTATAAAGGTATACTTTACTAGCAAGCTTAGCACGAGTTCCTAGAGTCATTGTCGCTCACCGAAGCATCCTGAAAAAGGTGATTCCAGAAATTGGCCGCCATATTGTATCAAAGTGTGTATATACAATTTTTTCTTACACCCAAATGCATGCTTGATAAAATCTGAAAGGTATTGTAGAAATTCGATGCCTTACACCCAGAAGTTAGACCTTTAGAATGGCCTACGCCCTTAAAAACTTGCCTTTGAAGTCAGAAGAAATGAACGATTGGCTCTTTGGACCAAACTTATCATTGCGCTATATTTCTAAAACCAAAACGAAATAGTCGTTGACAATTGAAATCGATAGACATTTCTTGAAAGACATGAAAAAGGTCGTTACGATAACACGTTTCAGCAAAATGGTGCACTATGTCCAACTGAGCTCAACATATTCAGTTTTTGCAACAAAAAATCCTTCAACGCCTAATGAGTGACTGATCACTCAGCTCCACTGACTTTTCGTGCGGTCAATTAAAAAGCAAAGTGCATGTCAGCAATGCTCGGATCATTGACGAGTTCAAAACAAAAAAAAAACATACGTATCGAGCTGTCGCTAACAGCCGGAGGCGCTCGGCGCTGTAGTATAAAATGGTTGAAGTTTGCAGTGACCAATAAAGGTTGCTGTTTGATTATTGTTTCATTAAAAAAGAAAGTTTCAAATAAATTATTAAAAACAAAATTAAATGAAAACATATGAAATTTGAGAAGTTTTATTTGAAGTTATTGAATGTACAAAACATGACCTCGTTAGCAGTAGCATCAAGCTACTGTCATACTAGACTTGTATGGCTACTTGGCCACAACGGAATCGTTGAAAACTGTACAGTTGATGAGCTTGCAAGAAAGGATTATCTACCATCAGGATACGTACGTGCTGATGTTCTTCTGTCATATTGCGTGGAGAACGTAAGAGGTCTTTTAAATTACTTGCACTTTGCTCAGCTCATCGCGCGGAGTTCTAACTGGATACTATACTATTGGCACTCAAGTGCGAAATACAATACTTGGAGGGACTTATCAAAGTTGCTTGCAGGAAGATGTGGTGGAAACATTTGGACACTTTCTCCTCTAATGTCCAGCTGTATCCACACTAAACTTCGAGCATCTCAGTTCTCATTCCTTTTACGAGCCAATCGAACTGGCCGGAATTGTTACTAGCTGGCATAATAACTTTATGGCAAGTTCAGGGCGCTTTGTCGAAATGCGACGGTCGTTTTGATTTATACTTTTCAGTTCTTCGGTCATGCGTGATATTTGTGTTTAACTAACCTTACCGACACAAAAGATTTTACACCATTTATTCTTATTTATGTAAGAGTATGAAAACGCTACGAAATGCGTGATTGACGCTTGACACCTCACGTTTTCAAACGAAAAAATACAGTTTATAAAATCAAATTTAAAAATTTACACAGAAAATAGTTTAATCGACACTACAGAGGTGTGTATGCATGTGTAGACGGGCATATGCATATGCAATAACCGCTCACTTGCCACACGCCGCTTGCCAAAAGTGAAGGTTGCATTAAATAAATTGTGAAAATTTTAATTATATCTTTTTATAGTTGCAAGCAGCACAACAACAACAATGATTACAATAACTAAGCAGTGCAATTTCAGCATGCGATTTTATGAATTGTAAAATACGAACGATAATATCGCATTGTTTGTGCAAATGAAATGTTTCTTTCACTAATTGACCGCAGTAAAAATATGAACGTCTGCATGTATGCCCCCATATAGGTATGTCTATATAAGGTATAATGATGTTAAAATTGCCACGATTGGCGTTGTTGCATTTAATTGGTTTTCATGACTTAAATATTTATGCGTGCAATTGTAATATAAACGCTTGAAATAATAAACTCTTAATTAATATACTTTTCATTTTTCATACCAATACTAGCACATTCATACATACATATATTTGTATGTATATAAACGCGGCCATACATATTATATATATTTATTCTTATTAATGTATATAGTGTAGACATGAATATACTCAATACTCAATCAAAATGAGGAAATTATTTGTTTGGCCTCTTTGTGGGAAAGACGCTTTCTTGTTTGTTTGCTTTCGAAAACCGCGGATTTGAAATATTTTTGGCCAATTTTTTCTCACTTTTACTTTGATTTGATGAACTCGCCCGCAAGGCTATAAACAATATACTATTCTCAGAAGTATTGTGTATCAATTATGAGTGTAAACAAGAAGCATTTATTGCAAAAAATTAGACCCATCTGTTGTTTGTAGTCTCTTTTGGCCTTCACCTACTTTAAAACTGGTAAATATCGCATGGATGAGCAAATTTTTTATTCAGAAATTAAAAGTATGATATTTAAATTATATATATAATCATAAGTGTTTCTGTACATTAACCCTGTACCCTACAATTGAAGTTATGTTACCCGCTTTAATCAAAAAAATTGAAAAATTACTGCATTTTAGCAATAACTTCTAAATAAATTTCTCTTTCTTGAAGTAACTCACTACTTTTAAAGTAAATTTCGAGTTAAAATTTTTTTTGGCTTAAACTCTTCACATTTATA